CCCCGCCGCTGCCACCGCCTAGCGGGGTCCCTGTCCCAATCCTTCCCGCGCCCGCCGAGCGCGGTCCCCAAGCAGCCCCAGAGGCCTCGGTGAGGCTCGGTCCCCAAACAGCTCAGCCAGCGCCAGGCCCTGCGGTTCATCTGGGGACCTGGGGCGTAGCTCTGTGTCCGCGACTTGTCTAGCCAGGCTGCGACTGTGTGTCCCTGGTCAGGATGTACCGCGACTCGACGCCCTTAGGAGACCCCGCCGCCCGCAGCGGAGGGTAGCGGCCTCCCCGGGCCGCACTCCCAGGGCAGACCCTGTCCCTTCTCGGGCAGGATTTGGGGGACACTGAGGAAGAATAGTCCGCATCGTAGGAGCAGCTCCGTGGCCGCGAAATTGAGCCCAGCGAGGCTCTCCCCGCACAGTCCCCGCCTGAGTGCCTGTGTCCAGGACGCAGGGCTGCGCCGGCCTTCTCGAGCTGTGCTGCCGCCTTTTAATCCATGCTCCGACTGAACCCGACGAGCCTCACTCATCTCACAAGAACTCGGTCTTCCCAGCCGGGTGTGGGGTCCACGCCTGCACTCCCAGCACTGGGGAGGGGTGTGGGAAGGGGAAGGAGGACCGCTTGCAGCTCCAGGCCAGTCTGGGTTGCACAGTGAGACTCTCAAAAACAACATAGAAACCAAAAAAAGAAAGAAAAAGTCCCCCAGACCCTTCCTACCACTGTCTTAGCCCCTGGCAGACAGGCACCAGGCGCACACCACTCCCTGCCGGAGGAGCTGATGCTTTGTATTTGATTCTGAGAAAAGTTGTTTGTCCCCACCCGCCGCCCCCCGCTGCCGCTCTTTGGGGTTGTCTTTATTCGTTTAGCGCTGTCTGGTCTTGTTAACTTGTTTTCTCTCTTTTCACATTCTCTCTCTGTCTGTCTGTCTCTCTAGTTTCTTGCCTCCCTAATTCTGTTCCAATTTTTTCTTTCTAGATTAATCGAAATCCTCTCCCACCCTTGGTTCTGTATTCACTAATTCCTTCTTTTCTACCTGTGTCTCTGTTTTGCTTGTGTTCGCAGCGGCAGCAAGGCGACTGATTTACCGACCCGCGTGAACACTTCACATTCAAAATTTCCTGTCTGGTTTTGTCATTTCCGTCCCAACCCCGGGGCTCTTGGCTCGTATAATAAATTCGTTTTATTATTTCAGGTGCAATACTCACATACACAAATTATTCGGTAAGGTTGATTTAGTCAGATTATTTTAATATCCTAATATTAAACTACATTGTAATTATTTTGTTTGCCTTTAAGAAATCTTTTACGGGGCTGGGGATTTAGCTCAGCGGCAAAAGCGCCTGCCTGGCAAGCGCAAGGTCGTGAGTTTGGTTCCCGGTACCGGAGAAAAACCAAAAAAAAAAAAAAAGAAATTTTTACATTTCCACCTCTAAATAAATATCACATGATAATTTTGCAAGGGAGAGATGGATGTCCATCAACATTGATTCTCTAAAAATCGTGGGATTTTAAATGTAGAAACATATAAAACTGAGCCAGATGATTTATCCTGCCACACTATATATTATGGCTTTCCAAAGATTTAACAGGAAATTGATACGGTATAAATAGATAACTTTTGCTTGTTCACCAACTAAGATTTTATTTGTTTTCTGTTAGATCACAGTAGTTCTATCTTAATAATGATAGAACAATTAGTCTTTCCTTATAGATAATAACTGAGTTCTTATTATTTGTTTTGTGTAGAATTTGTTGTTAGCTCATACAGAAGAATCTTTATGTAATGCTGTTGGTAAAATAGCAGAGGACTTTTGCTTTCAGAAAATGGAGACAAAAAAAAAAAAAACTATCCCATAGGAGACCAAAAAAAGAAACCTTTTTAGAATGCTAGTGAAACTTT